TTACCTTCAGTAATGGACCACATAAAAAGGAAGTTAGCATTGTTCGACTAAATGATAATTAGAAATACGAGGTAATGAAGCACCTGTGTCAAATATAGTGAGTGGATTGCAGAAACCAAACAAAGAAAACATTTCCATAACTTTAATGGACTATATGGATATTTTCCCACTAACGGCTTCTTAGTGGTTATAACAACCTTGAATAGGAATTCAACTATTAAGTATTTCGAAAATAAGGGGAAATTTCCCTATGTGAATTTTAATAACGTTACAAGTTTATGACTTTTGGCTGTAAGTTTTGTGTCAATTACGTACGGTGAAACCCTGTGAGTGCATTTTTGTATCATTCTGGAGCCTACCTTTTGAATTGGGAATGTTTTATCATGGAAAGTGCATTAATACCAGAAAAATAACTCCAACCCTTCACATTGTTCCACTGGTGTCACTCAGAGCAGCATCAGTTGTTAAATAACTACATATGTTTTTACATGAGATATAGACATAGTTGTGCCTACATTTTCATTTTTCCTTAAATAATTCGCTTAATCAGTATATAAGCGCTTTAGAGTAATTTTACAATATATATAGGGCGCTATATAAATGTTGTATATTATTATTATAATTAATATTATTATATAATTTGTAAACCAATGATAAAAACAACGGTATGTTATTGAAAGGTTTAGGACAGTCCTCAAAGTATATTTGTCACGTAGAAAAGAGCCATCATCTCTTTACTGAAAACAAAGCCTTACTTACCTAATTTCACAAAATGTGTATAATGCCAGGTCGTAATGTTCGGCGCATCGTCATATTCTGTGCATGAACGTTATTTCTACGAATGGACGTAATTTTCAACACAATTTTTAGTGAAAAGAATGTGCATTTTGATGCATATTTAAATACATTTACTGAAACGAGCTACAGCTTTTACATTTTAGGTCTGACATGGTTAGATTCATTTAGTATGTCTCTGAAGTGATATCTCGCAACTTAATTGAAGTTATCGTGTTAAATATTTAAAATGCGGCGAATTATATTCCGAAATGAGTTTAGAAAAAAGACAGGTGGCTGTATTATGAGTGATAACTTTTACCATTTAATCAGCAAACATTGTTTTGAAATGTTGGTCAATTGGACGCAATAAGACCACTATATATGTGTAAAGACAAAATTGCAAAATGCTCTACGAATGTTGAATTGGTTAAAGTATGAGTACTTAGGTGCGCTAAATATTCCGACTGCTCTATATTTTATGAATAATAATTCTTTCGAATGCTCGGTTATAAAAGAAGGACGTATATCTTGGTGTTCTGTTCATTTTTATTACCCAATTCTATGAAAATTAAACACGTCGTGAACTCAAAATTATGGAATTTCGGATACTATATTCATGGCTTCAGATCACGTCCTTAAATATTTGATTTTTCAATACTGGATAAAATCAAATATGTGAATGTGTTAATTACAATATTTGTATTCAACCACATGTACTAATAATGAACAAGAATATAATCTTCACGATACTTAAGGTTAACATCTACAAGAGAATGTTTCGATCAACTCTATCGGTGTAAATAAAAAGGCATATATTAACGCCTTTTTGTATTATATATCATACGTTACATGTTTCTATTTGTAATTCTTAAGATGTAGGTAGAATGACTTTTGTTTGAAAATGTTATGACATTCTAACCCTAAATAACTATATTCACAATATTCATCAGACAAAAATGAAAAAGACTGGCTTTATTCATTTGTACATGATACGAAAAATAATTTGTTTTCTTTTTTTCAATCATGAAAACAACAGTAGTTTTGTGTATTTAAAACAGATTTAATAAAAAAAAATGTGACAACCTCGCAGATCTTTTTTCATAAATTGTATTTCAACAATTTTCCTTTTTCATAAAAATAAATAAGTTCATATCTGGTGAATATATGTGTATGGTTTATGTAAATTACGAGTAAACAAATTTTACTATCTTTTATGCATATATGCAAAGATTTATTTTGTTAATGTCAGACCGTATTCGTTAAATTGTCTACAATGGAACTTCACTTTTGCAGAGTTTACCATTGTTCAAGTTTTTGAAATTATTCGGCTTATCGAAATATTTATTATGTCTTTGAAAAATGAGGGAAGCATATTTCCTATCAATGTTTAAGTCAGTATAGTGCATTTGGTGGAAAAATTACCCCGAGCCAACACGATTCCTAATTAAATCAGAATTTAAATAAATAGAACATATTACAGTCAAGCTTTTCTAAATCGGTCGCCACTTACCCAGTTACTTCACTATACCCAGCCCTTGGTTGCTGACACAGGACTCCAGCCACTGTAGCATGGAACGAAAATGATCTAATGTGACCAAGACGTAAAATAAGAATATGCTTTAGGACTACGAAAGTTAACAGCCAACATACTGACCCATAATTATAGAAATGAATCATATTTGTTTTTTAATCTGACAAGCAATTGACGAATACGGTCAATATTGTGTGTTTCCATATTTAGCTGATTCTAAACATTTAATGTAATAAAATTGTGTGATATATTTCTAATCGTTGTTCTTTTATTATTATTATTGCGCAAAACATTGTATGGCTTATAAAACAGATGGAGATATTTTACAGTTTGCTGACAGTTTACATAGACTTTCATTAAACAGTTTCAGGCGATGAATTTCTTACCTCAAAAAAATAGAGCAGAACTGTTATTGAAAAACATATATGAAAAATTCCAGATCCCTATAAAATTCGAATAGCTTTCTGGAGTGATAGACAAAAATCTTTGCTGTAATAGGCTTGTTATGTGTACATACATATATATGTATGTAAGGCGATGGTCATTTGGAAATGGTATATACGGATAAGAGGTCTATTCGATAGCCACTTAGATGAAATGTCATCTCTTCTATTATCATAATCAAGCGAAGGGAACCAAACACTTACTTACCTAAAGAATGATTGAGAATCAAGAATTTCCAAGATTCGGGGGCCATGACATTGTATCACAGTCTACCATTGGTCACACTAAACTTATAACGTGCAAAACAATCCTTACAGGTGAACGTCAAGAAAAGAGAAATAATTAAGTACATATTTGTACAGTACTTTGGTTTGTCAGGGCCTGGAAAAGAGCCCATATACCATTACCCTTCCCGGTTTTGGGAATGCTCAACACCGAGGCCAAAATAGAGCTTTTTACGTTAGGATAAGGCAGATTTATTTCGATCACCTTTCTGTTCCTATAGGAATCATAGGTACCAGTGGGAAGCAGCAGGTAGAATCTATGTAGAATCTAGGTATATGCGTTACTACATGTACATGTACATGCGTGAAATCTGTACTAGCTCTATATATTTATGGAACAAAAACTAACGTCACGCTACCACGATTGGTACACTACCCAAATTGGTACACGGGTCAGAAAATAGTTCAAATAGAACTTTAAAATTAAATTTGAGCATTTTCCTTTGACAGCATAACAAAATAGATATTTTTAAGAATTTCTACCGAATAGTTTTGTTTTCAGGAACGTTTTAAGAGTACACGATGAATTCAAAGTAAACATATCAGAAAACCAGTAAAACCGACGTACGTCGACGAAATTTTGGAGGATTTTGAAGGGGTTAAATATAAGTATGTTTAAATGTTTATTTCTGGTCCTTGTAACCGGATAATATAAACGTGTATATATACACGATTGTAGTTCAGTATGGTATTTATAAAAACAACATATTTGGTTGCAAAAGGCACATCAACTAGTAGAAATAAAAACAAGTCTTATAGCCTGTGATATGGTGTACCAGTCTTGGTACTAATCACGGCCGAAAAACGTTATTATTTCCCATTGAGAGTAAAGGGTCTTTACCCAAATTTCTTATCATTTCCAACAAAGGTTGAATTCTTTACCAATAAAATTTCCACGGAATTAGGTATCTAAGTCCGTGGTTGAATAAACATATGTAGACACTAGCACAGGGGCTCGGTTTCGGGATACTTTCGGTTAATAATAAACCTATACACACCAGTAAATACACATTCTAAAACCTTTAAAAAATTGAGGGTACCGAGGTGAAACCGAGTCCATGTGGACACTAGCTATAATAGTAAACTTATTCCCTCCTTTGGTTTGCCTTTGTGCATGGATTGTGTCTTTGTATTGTATCACGGCCTATCGACAATATTTAGATGGAATTCATTCAGTTTTCCATCGAAGTTTTTATTGAAGTCGGTTCCGCTGTTTTGCAGAGGTTGTTTACAGGCGTGCGACGGACAATTTAAGGCGATCTTGATAGATCAACAAAGACTTAATGTCAGGTGACCGAAAAATTAATTAAAAACTATTTTAATGAATAAAAACCAAAGCATGGTGTCCCCATGTTTTTTCCACTGTCACTTCTTTATTACGCCACTTTACATCATGATACATTTGCTTTGGTGTTATTAGAAATTATCTTATACACATAGATTCTACTTGCCAACTCTTCCTAAATATTTAGGAGGGAGACTCTCGATTGTTGACCCTTTCAACCAGTTGAACAACACTGAATGAATCGCTTTAGGCAAGATTGTCCCTATGGGGTATATATAAACACATTGTGTTTAACCTGTGTTGTAATTTTGAGCATGCAGAATCTCTCCAGGGGAAATTCTAAAAAGTTGGCAAGTATGGTACAGTTTAATTACAGGTTTATTGTTTAAATTGATTTTACGTCTTCAGGAATGTTTAATGGATAATATTGCGCGTACGCAGAACATCATAGTTTGCTGTCAGATTCAAGTAGCAGAAAATGTTGTTTAGAGTAATTGAAGTACCATACTTTTCGTTTGTATCAATTATTTAATTCACACTCTCAAAATACACATGCGTGCATAATTGTTTTGAATACTATTATACTGTATAGGTAAAATCACAACAATAATGGGTTTTCACTGTATCACGTGAAAACAGGTGTTGCATCATTGCATCATTTACTACCGGGTTAAAGGACGTACATGCGCAATACAATTCATACATTGAGGAACAGTTATTTGTACGGACTATAAAGTTATTTGGAAGAAATTCGTACGAATGTATGTACATGAATTGATCACATTTCACTTTTTATTGAATATTTGTGTATATGCTTGTCTAGAGCTATCTATAATATGTCTCATCATTTTAAATCATTGCAAATACTCTACTACGAAAAATCGTGCCGTCTCTAAAACGTTGATTGGAAAATCTAAAATACATGAGATGTCAGTATGACATTTCTTCTATAAGAAATGTGACGTACTCATATTTGCGATTATCAAACAATATGTCATTCATCATTACATATCGAATACAAATCAAATCTTAAAATTGACATAATGAATGTTTATTTCACACATTACCCTCTGTACGTACCCGGAAGTCATACAGGAAAACGCAATATGGCGGCTGATATATACATGAACCCTGTGTAGCTTATAGATAATTGTCACCTCTGAGGGGTTGCCTTTAAAGATTCAATCGAACAATTATGCCCCGTTATATTAAAGCACGATACCCAGCCTTTATGCACCCATTTATAAACAACACGAAAGGCATGATTAACTGTGTTGTTTAAAGTGAAGGACACTCTACCACCCAACAAGACTAATGGACATTTAATCTCGCATGTCGCATGTGGTTTAAATTTATTTGATTATTCCATTTTCTCCGATAACATACTAATTTCAATGACCTGGTTGATGCCATCAACTACGAAATCGCAACAAAAACTGTATTGTCGTGCTATCAAATTCCAGGAAAGTTGAAATCTATTTTTATCGAGTACCGAGAATTGTATCTTATAATTGTGTCCCTTTATCGTTATATACAAATATATACATTCCCTTAAGAACTTACGCATGTTTTAAACAGTTAGTAAAAGAAATAGAATCAAACGAGAGACAAAAAAAAGTATTTCAACCGTAACGGCGTTATGGTAATGCACATAGGTCTGTTCTTCAATTACTCCTCACCTTATCCAAAACAAACATTTTGTGCAGTCCTGGAACTAGGTAAGGTAGCCAAACGACTCAATGGAATGTATATGCTTCTGTTAACACTGTAGCACAACTTCCTTGACAGAAAGGTCAAAAGTTCGATTCCTCCGAAAATAAAAAATAAAAAATACATAAATCATAAATTTACAAATTTCGTATGTTTGCTTTCAGATTCATTTTTACTATTAGATATTTTTAACTTTACTATTGAACAATGTATTCATTTTGAGCATTTGTAATATGCCCCGTTTCTTTTTCCATATATTTCATTGAGGCATTTTGTTTTGTTTTATCTATATTTTTACCGTCAAATGGACATTTAAAACTATTTATCGCTAAATATGTATATATTAAATCACCGATTTGTCTCAAGAGTACCGGGCTGTTGACCAATGCAACATCAAAACGTATTTCTAAGAGGGTCAGGTGGTGTAGTGATATGAGCTATGGGTATTTCTAGGCTAGGAGATTGGGTTACACTTGTCGTGAGTTCGATGTCCGGACAGGGTACGAGACATAACATTGTCTTCCTTTGTCATTTGTGATTCTATATCATTTCTTTATATCTAAACCCATGTATCATATACATTAGAGTATGTTGGTCTGAAGGTTTAAGATATGAACTACATGTCGCAATTGCATTGCGTTTGCTTTATATAATAGATAGATAGATAGATAAAGAAATAAAACATAACAAAATGATAATAATTCAGCTGTTATAGTTTAGTTCAATTGGTGTGTTAGTTTGCTAGGGGTATTATGACCTTGTAACAACCAAGTTCATGCAATACCTAGGGTTACAACACCGAAAGGAAAGAGTAGGTAAAAAAAACAAAAAAAAACAGTATCTTTCTATATAGAAAACAAGACGATCCCCCACCTCCCCATTCTTCAGGTGACCCACATACGAGTCTCTTACGATATGTGGTGCGATACAGATATTTTCCTTCTCTTAAACTGGACAGGGGTTCTGTCCGAATCCTCACTTATGCACTATAATTTTCATATTTGCGTTTGATTTTAAACAGGGGAGAAAGTTGTATTTATAATATTGTTTTGTTCAACAATTATAGTGTATCACCTATCAGAATCAATGATTCCAAATTTATTCCAGACACATAATCCACTTTAAGCCAGAAATAAACGAGTCATAAATCGATATTTTGTTGTTGTTTCTTGTAAACAATATTTATTTTTTATTTTTCCATCGAATGACGTTTAATATATTGTCCTTTTTACATATTACCAAAAAAACATTTGTAGATAAAAATGGTTGTAAAATGAAATTTTCCTTGAAATGTTACATTTTTATTATAGTTGTAGTGTATATTTGTCACACATATTTGTACACAATCAACGTATCTACAATTACCTGAGGTAGGCGGTTTCTCGAAACTAATCACTGTCCTATTTTATCACCTTTCGTTTTGCTTATCTGAACATGTGTGTACCTACGGTGCATACACACGTACTTATAAAACTTAACCTTCACCAGTTTCGTACTAGTTTTGCGATATGAGTTCTCTGGTGCAGTATTCATGAGCGTTTGTTCAGCGTGATATCTGAGCAAGATGACATTAAAGCGACTAAAATTTACCAGATAATTATTTAGCAGTGAACAGTGCTCGTGGCTTTATGTACCGAATATATTAATTGATTTTCTGGTTTTATACGAGTTAAAATTGATTGGTGTGGTTTTTAACTAGTTTATTTTAAATCTCCCAGTGTTGCTAAATCTCGACTTGGATAGTTTGTGTATTGATGAGACTACTTATTGCGTCCTGCTCGGGTCCTTTAAGAAGGTAATCACACTTTAGACGACATAGTGGTGCTGCTGTTTAATGTTAAAAGAGAGTTATGAGATTTGTATTGTATATGAGTATTTCGCTCTATTCCCTATTGCTTGATAATAGTAGGAGGCACGGTAGTCTAGTGGTAGGACGCCGGGCTCATGACCGAAGGGTTGCGGGTTCGAGCCACGGCACGGCACTGTGTTGTATCTTTGAGCAAGATACTTTACTCCGCTTGTTCCAGTTTACTCAGCTGTATATGAGTACGTGGTTGGGTAGTGCTAGAAATGTTGAATGCTAGCTGTGAGCGCCGAAATGGCAGCACCGGCTGTATGCTCCCAAGGGAGCTGAGAAAGATGTTGGCTGGTTGCAAAGGCCCTATAACCACGGATAATAGTTTGTGAGCCACTTTGAGACGACCTACGAACTAGGTTGTGATAAAGCAGTATACAAGAACCTCCAAATATTATATTTTTATTACCTTAGTATAATAAGAAAATAGTTCCTGATAGTGACAGTGACAGTAGTCAATATCCTTCGTTGACAATTTAGCAAGCTGTACAAATAAATTACAATATACCTATTTTCTTATTATAATGCAAATGGTTTAAAGAACAACATCATTTGACGAACGGATAATGCATTAGAGAGAACAGGGTGTTATCAGGACGAAAAGTGTTGGGGGTCCTATCGACTGCATGACGTCAAAACAAACGAAATACATTTCTATTTTCAAACTTTAATTTTAGAATACAACACGTCATATGATATCATCAGTTATTTGAAACATCTTCGTTTATCTTAAAAAAGAATGCAATCATATCTAATGTTCATTTAAATTAGCTTATAACAATGCTCTAACGGTGGCTTCACGGTCGTTAAACAAACTACGCCTGAATTACGTGATACGGCGCGACATATTATCAATATACTATGTAGTGAGGTCACCTTTGTTACGCAAAACAAATATGTAATTTTGGTCAATAGTACTAGGCATACATAATGCAAATGTTAAGTGTTATTAATTAGTTATGATTTAGCGATGAACCTGCTCATTTATAGAATAGCAAATGTTTTGTCATTAAGTTAAACTTGAAATCTTTAAACAGAAATACCCAGTGATAATTTTGTATTGATTTCGAAAAAAACTATTCCTTATAATTACGTTTCGTCATGAATTGCAATTTTAAACCAAAATCATCAATCGAAATTAACACCTTGGTTATCTTTCTCTTTCAGAAATAATGTCCGAACGAGTAAGAAGCGAAGAACAAGCAAGGGTCGTTGTGACTGATATCGGAAACGATTTGGTTGAAAACATACGACAGATATGCTTCATGATGAGAGAATATTTCAAGATAAAAATATTCATGTTTGCTGCATGTATATCTGACGAAGAGTTAAGAGGGGCTTGTGGCGGTGGCAATAGACATATAGGTAATATGTATTACTACGATATCCAGGAAAACCGTCAATTTGGATCACTTGATGTTTATGAAATACAAACGGGAGGTGGCAAACTTATTCTTCCGGTGGGATTTCAGGGTGACGATAGCATGCATGACATTTCCAACAGTCGCTTCCCATTGGATTTCCACTCGTTTCCAAACCGAACAGATTATATAAATACTCATCTACTTGAATCGGATTTCCAGGAAGTCTTTCAACGTGAGTACCGTAATCAAGAAGTTATTGAAGACGAGGATGATACACAATCCAATGAAACAGAGTCGACACCAATGCACACAGGAGGACGCAGGAATGCAGGGTATCGCCGAATGACAATGGCAGAAGTCGGAGATGTCATACATTCCCGACATGACCCTTGTACTCCTAGCATGAAAGATATTGAACAGCGCATGCGCACGTTCCATGGATGGAGACTGAATGGAAACTGGGCAGCCGACCAAATGGCTCAGGCGGGATTCTTTCGTACGGATATGACATTCACTCACATATCAGGTTTTTCCTGTTAAAAATGTATATATCTTTATCAGAACACATATCATATCCCGCAGTGAAATATGATTATCTGAGATATCCCCCCCCCCCCCCCCCCCCCCGTCATAAACGTTATTCTTTATAATTATTCATGTCGAACATCAATCTTAATTTATTATCACTTGTTGTTAATCTCTTACATATATTTAAATTACTCAACAGAGAAGCTATCTAGATCATTACTTAGTTTCATCCCCCATCCCTCATTTTCACGGGGGGGTGGGGGGGATATTATTGATAACATTTACAAAACCTGAACTGAACAAAGCCTGTAATAATAAGTTCACATATTAAATTTAATATTTTCAAAAATTATAGAAAATAAAAAAACAAATATATCAATCAATAGTTATTTGAATTAGTTTGTAAGTTGTATGTGATCATTTTGAAACTGCAACATGATAGGACATTTATGCGGCAAAATTACCACTGTTTTTATTGTTTGTAAATTAAATGGAATTATTTGCATTTTTTAACTTTAGGAACTGGAAATCAGGCTGAATGTTTTCACTGTGGATTCTGCGTAAAGGAATGGGACGAAGATCCTCTAGTGACGCATGTGAGATGGGCCCCAAGATGTAGTTTCCTGCGTGATACTTTTCCCCTTGATGTTATATACGGCATACTCTTCAACCGTAAGTCTAATATTTGTTTACTTATATATTAACTAGAAAATGACAAATAAAAAAAAATAACAGGATAAGATAATTATTTCTAATGTAATAAAATATCGTTTCTTTTAAGGATCCCTGCATCACTGCAAAAACCTGTAACTATGTATTGGAATTGTCTTTCCCTGTATGGTTATACATTTGATAAATCATTTCTGAAAAGAGAGCCAAGCCTTACGGATTTTTAATGAAAATAATTATAAAGCAGAAAAAGGAGCCTTGAATTTAGGTAAGACCAGGATTCGAACTCTGGACATTAGATAATTATACAGTCGCTCCAACTAACAAAAGAATTTAGGTAAGACCAGGACTAACAAAACTACCAAGTCAAATGTAAACACACTTGCCAAGTCGCAAAAGAGTTGTGTCTAAAACAATATTAAAGGGAGATAACTACATGTACAACAAATACAGTGATGCTCTCTAGTTTTTGTGTTCAATAGGACAGTGATCGTTAGCAAAATGTTCAAAACACGGTACTTAAATAAATGGTGTACCTTACACTGAGTATATGATACATATAAGACTGATTTGTCTTTTATAGGGAAACAAATGTAATTGTTCCGGGACTGGCACGGAATCCCTTGGAAACTCGACCTCGCCTTGCCGATAAAGAAGAAAATATATTTGTAACTGAGCGGAATGCCATTATTCCGTGTCCAGATTATGACATTTCAGTGATATGGCACTATAAAATAGCCCCTTAATGGTCCCATCGTCTACGGACACCGTCTTCACATGGCCTTAGCTGTTTTGATGACGTAAAACTTTAATTTGATGATAATTATTTTGTTATCAGCTTTTTATTTTGAATTCCTTCATGCTTAACTTAAGCTGTTGTACATAGATATTTAAAATAACTATCTCTCATCCTTCTGACTTGATCTTTTTTATATTTATCTCTTTCTTTTCATCTAAAAATCATACGATTTTGTATGTAGGTGCATGTATACGTGTTTTATATGTCACAATTGCTTGTATTGACAGACTTATTGGATATGTTCAACATTACTTGAAACAATATATTAATAATCTAGTTACTCCCGACCTTTTGTTTAATATTTTCTTTTATATTCTTTTACCTAATTTGATAATACTGTTTCTAGCTATAATCATCAAAAAAGGTGACATCTTAAAGTTATCGGAGATTACAAGAAATTGTTTCAATTACTGAAAATATATATCCAATTTGTCATGAAATAGGTTATGGTTATTATTTATAGCTTTTGGTTAGTGGTAGAATATAATATATGCTTATATATAACTGGAATATATTACACTGGCACATTTTACATGAACATGCACAACTAAATCATTCACTATATGTTATTACTAAGCTTTTGAGCTAATTACGTTAATATTTGAGGTTCAACACTAGTGCCAACTGTCTAGATTCACAGATACGTACCTGACAAAGGCTTCAAGGGGCATTTTTGGCGGGTTAAGTGGCATTTGACAACCGGAAGTTTTACAAGCCAAACCGGTGAAGTGGGAGGGGAATACCCCCTGACATTTGACGCCACATCAATCCGCCGTTACATATTAAAATTTACTAAAACTATACGTTTTTCTAACGTTCAATGTCTGTAGATTTAATTCAATGTAAAATATGTCAACAATTACATATTTAAATTACTTGAACCTACTGTATTAAACCGGGACAAATTTTAGGTAAGGATTACAATCGTATGAAATCCTGAGAGTTGATTGACTGATTTAATTGTGCGAGTCCTTAAGAAATATTATTTGTTTAAACCAAAATAAGTCATACCTGTCCCTTTCGATAAATTCTACATATGTTTCGGAACTTTAATATATGTGACCTTTCATTCCTTTGATCTTTAGCTCAACTAGTAGTGACAAAACATAAATGGATGTAATGAGTGGCGTAGCAAATCATTTTTCGAAGTGTATGCTTACAGATGGTCGAGCGTCCGAGGCGCGTAGCCCGGGAGAAGGGGGAGGGTAAGGGAGCTGGAAAATTCTACTAGGCCCAATAAGCAATCGCCCGACTTTTTAAATTAACAATATCACATTTTGTACCTCACAAAGTAGCTTTTGATTTACATAAACCTTCGCTATTTGCTAATGTGTATAGACATAATATGATAAGACTAAAATTAAAAAAAAAACAAAAAAAATCCTTTTACTAATTGATACGGGCGGTCCATATTAATAAAAATCAATAAAAATAAAAATAATCATAACAAATTATTTTGAAAATGTTAGTGCATGCTTGAGCATACAAGCATACATGTACGATACGCCACTAAGTGCAGTAATAGGGTGGATTTGTTTAGATTCCTCCTTCTTCAAAATAAATTGTAAATAGGTGCCACCTTACTGATTATTTAACAATGCGGCAATATATTCTGTTGAAAGCCATAAAACAGGTGTTTAGTTTAATCATTGGCTAGAGGTTATTAACGTATCAAGAGTGTTTTTTTCTGCTTGAAGATAGTTTAGCGGTTATTTTTTATCATTGTCATCATTATTTTCTTTTTATTTGTTTAATTATGCTAGTGTAGCATCAGAGCAGTACGAAAAAGAAGGCAAACTTGATGCATTTTGATACACTTCAAAATACCATCGTTATATAGATGTATGCTAAGTGGCACAAGCGATTGTTATAAGTGTGGATAATTTCAATATTTATCTGAGCCGCGAAATGTCAATCATAGATTACCGTCAGTAATGGACCACATAAAAAGTAAGTCAGTGTTGTTCGACTAAATATTAATTAGAATACGAAGTAATGAAGCACCTACATCAAATATAGTGAGTGGATTGCAGAAACCAAACAAATAAAACATTTAGTGCACCATATGGATATTTCCCACTGAGGGCTTCATAGTGGTTATAACAACCTTGAATAGGAATTCATGTATTAAGTATTTCCAAAATAAGGGGAAATTTTCCTATATTATTTTAATAACGTTACAAGTTTATGACTTTTGGCGTATAAGTTTTGTGTCAATTACGTACGGTGAGACCCTGTGAGTGCAATTTTGTATCATTCTGGAACCTATCTTTTGAATTGGGAATGTTTTATCATGGAAAGTGCATTAATACCAGAAAATAATTCCAACCATTCACATCGTTCAACTAGTGAATTGTCACTCAGAGCAGCATCGGTTGTTAAATAACTACATATGTTTTTACATGGGATATAGACATAGTTGTGCCTAGAATTTCATTTTTCCTTAAATAATTCGCTTAATCAGTATATCATTTGCAGACCAACGATAAAAACAGCCGAATGTTATTGAAAGGTTTAGGACAGTCCTCAAAGTACATTTGTCACGTACAAAAAGAGACATCATCTCTTTACTGAAAACGAAGCCTTATTTACCTAATTTCACAAAATGTGTATAATGCCATGTCGTAATATTCTGTGCATGAGCGTTATTTCTTCGAATGAACGTAACTTTCAACACAAATTTGGACTATGTATGGTTTGGGCCTTTTTTGGCCCCCAAATCCATCAAAACAAAAAATCTGCAATAGAACTTTCAAACGAATGTTTCTTTAATTTTGAATACTTCCCCAGTACTATTATGTAAATATTTATTTATGTTTTCAATTCTGGCTGCCATGGTGACCAGGTCATATTTGCATAAATTATTGAAATTTGATTATTCAGTCAATTTTGACAGGTTTTCACCTAGTTTTTCTCTTAGCTACCATAGAGCGCACTCTTGAACAAACTTTATATTTCTTCTAAAGATGTATTACAGGTGCCTACACATTATCCTTTAATATTAAGTTTGTTCAAGCATGCGCTCTATAGTTTCTAGGAGAAAAACTATGCAAAATATCCCAATATTCACAATATTCACCACAACTTTTAGTGAAAAATATATGCATTTTGATGCAAATTTAAATACATTTACTGAAACGAGCTACAGCTTTTACATTTTAGGTATGTCATGGTTAACGTTAGATTCATTCATTATGTCTCTGAAGTGATATCTCGCAACGGCCATTTTGAAAATGTGTATTAATGTGTATATCTTGCGCTTCACAAAAGGCCAACATTTCACCTTTTTGACACTAGATTGATCACCTAAATTGTCATTGTGTCGCCATTTTTAATTGTAGCAGGTTCAATTTTGCTGTACAACTTTATAATGTTCAATATGATAAAAAATAATATGCAACAGAATGGAAAATTATACATTATTGGTATTTTTATACATATTTAGTGTAACTGAAGCACTTTTGATTTTTGACCCCGAAAAAGGTGAAAAATAACACAAATAATAATGGGACAAAAAAGAAGCAGAGGTGTACATCCTTAAGTATTTGATTTTTCAATACTGCTTAAAATCAAATATGTGAATGTGTTAATTACGATTTTTTTTATTCAACTACATGTACTAATAATGTACAATAATATCTTCACGATACTTAAGGTTAATATCTACACGAGAATGCTTCGATCAACTCTATTGATGTAAATAACAAGGCATACAGTAACGCCTGTTTGTATTATATATCATACGTTACCTGTTAGTATGTGTAATTCTTAAGATGTAGCTAGAATGGCTTGTGTTTGAAAATGTAATGACATTCTAACCCAAAATAACTATATCTATAATATTCATCAGACAAACATGAAAAAGACTGGCTTTATGCATTTGTACATGATACGAAAAAGAAGTTGTTTTCTTTTTTCAAACATGAAAACAACAGTAATTTTGTGAATTTAAGATAGATTTGATAAAAAATAAAAGTGACAACCTAGCCGATCTAAAAAAAATATCAATTGTATTTCAACTTTTGTTTTTCTTTTCCATAAATCCAAAAAAAATCATATCTGATAATATGTGTGTATTGTTTATGTAAAATGTATCACTAGTTCATATTACTTTCAATCTTTTACGAAAAACCATTTTTTATTTTGTTAATCTGAGACCGTATTCGTTAAATTGTCTAGTGCGGAGTTTACCTTTTTATCAAGGATTACATTTTTTTCGGCTTATCGAAATATTTATTATGTCTTTGAAAAAAGAGGGAAGCATTTTTCCTATCTATTTTTAAGTCATGAGAGTGCATTTGGTGGAAAAAGTACTCCGAGCCAACACGATTCCTAATTAAAACAGAGTTTAAATAAATAAAACATTATTACACTCAAGCTTTTCTAAATCAGTCGCCACTTACCCAGTTACTTCACTATATCCAGCCCTTGGTTGCTGACACAGGACTCCAGCCACTGAAGCATGGAACGAATATGATCTAATGTGACCCAGACGTTAAATAAGAATATGCTTTAGGACTACGAAAGTAACAGCCAACATACTGGTTCATAATTATAGAAAAGATTTTTTTTTTAATCTGACAGGCAATTGACGAATACGGTCAATATTGTGTGTTTCCATATTTAGCTGATTCTAATCATTTAATGTAATAAAATTGCTTGATATATTTCTAATCGTTGTTCTTTATCTTATTATTATTTCGCAAAACATTGAATGGCTTATAAAACAGATGGAGATATTTTACAGTTTGCTGACATTTTGCATAGACTTTCATTAATAAATAGTTTCAGGCGATGGATTTCTTACCTCAAAAAAATAGAGCAGAACTGTCATTGAAAAAAAATGTATGAAAGAATTCCATTTCCCCTTTAAAATTCGAACAGCTTTCTGGAGTGATAGACGAAAAACGGTGCTGCAATAGGCTTGTTATGTGTACATACATATATATGTATGTAAGGCGATGGTCATTTGGAAATGAATCTACGGATAAGAGGTCTATTCGATAGCCACTTAGATGAAATGTCATCTCTTCTATTATCATAATCAAGCGAAGGGAACCAAACACTTACTTACCTAAAGAATGATTGAGAATCAAGAATTTCCAAGATTCGGGGCCCCTGACATTATAGCACAATCTACCATTGGTCACACTAAACCTATAACGTGCTAATCAATCCTTACAGACACAAATATAAAGGTGAACGTCAAGCAAACATAAATACGTATTAATTAAAGTACTTTGGTTTATCAGGGACTAGGAACAGAGCCCATATACCATTAACCTTCCCGGCTTTGGCGAATGCTCAACACCGAGGCCAAAAAAGAGATTTTACTTTGGGATAAGGCAGATTTATTTCGATCGCCTTTCTGTCCCTATGGGAATCATAGGTACCAGTGGGAAACAGCAGGTAGAATCTATGTAGAATCTAGGTATATGCGTTACTACATGTACATGTACATGCGTGAAATCTGTACTAGCTCTTTATATTTATGGAACAAAATCTAACGTCACGCTACCACGATTGGTACACTACCTAAATTGATACACAGCATAACAAAAAAGATATTTTTAGCATTTCTACCGAATAGTTTTGTTTTCAGGAACGTTTTAAGAGTACACGATGACTTCAAAGTAAATATATCAGAAAACCAGTAAAACCGACGTACGTCGACGAAATTTTGGAGGATTTTGAAGGGGTTAAATATAAGTATGTTTAAATGTTGATTTCTGGTCCTTGTAACCGGATAATATAAAAGTGTATATATACACGATTGTAGTTCAGTATGGTATTTATAAAAGCAATATATTTTGTTGCAAAAGGCACATCAACTAGTAGAAATAAAAACAAGTTTTATAGCCTGTGATATGGTGTACCAGTCTGGGTACTAATCACAGCCAAAAAACGGACGAAATCTCACAGCGAGTTAAGCGTTCTATTTTCAAAAACAAATTACTTAGAATCAAAACTTTTTCTGAAAATGAATCACCATGGGTAGTCCTTGTCAAGAATAAAAAAGACCATTCCGGATACAACTGAGATCTGATTTTTTAAATATCACTGAAAAACTGTCAAAATTGTACCAATTAATTGTGTTTGCGTGTCGACGTTAGTCAAGCAACTCAATTGTTGCTTAACTATTTCAGTATCCATGCATAGGAAACACAGTGAAATAAATCTTTCTGTTATATATTCTATTTAATTCTTCAATTGCGTATCCCCAATGATGATAATATACCCATTTTTACTTTACCAAAAATTGATGTAAAATATATCAATTTATTGTTCTTTTATGGAACCAAAATATTCACAGTCATTTACACTTTGAACATCATTCCACAGCCCGCTAACGCACGGTATATGTACATGGCAGGTACATATGTGCCCATGAGGCTATCGCATGGTATGCCATTCACGTGCACTCACACATGCATTTTCATATGGATCTTGATATTTTACAAAACACTTTTTTTTTTACAGAGTAATAACTAGATTGCATTTGTAAAAACGATTCAATCAACAGAGTGAAACTCGCTTAACAGTGAAAATCGTAACGACCTCGAGCTTGTAAACTCGTGTAAGGACGTGATATGTACATGTGAGGTCGGTCCAGAAATCACATCAGTCCGCATTCGATGTTTTCTTCTTCTTCAAGGTACAGTCCATACCACTTAAGTGTATTCTCGGACTTGATGTGAGCAATTCAACTATTCACAGGTGCATTTAAAATCCATTATATACAGTTAAAAACTAAAAGCACTATGGTGCACTATCGTAGGGGGGGGGTGGTCAGCCTCCTCGTAAAGATATCAAGTGAGGGGCTGTCTACAACTGCTGATGGTAATGTGTCCAACATCCTGATGGTGTCTGGAAAAAAAAAGTTATTGTTAGGAACAGATCGAGAGTGTTTTCATGACGAGTAGGGAAAGTGACAGCCTTTATAAATGCATGGCAGTGTCTTCCCGTGAGTCTATTTATGTCTATGAATTGGACGCTTTATTTCTGAAGTACGTGTGATTACACATTTCCAGGTAAAAACTCGATATTGGGTGTTGACATATCATCGTCACGCACGTGTACTATTGTTTACCAGGTGTAACATTAATTTCAACTTTGATATACTGAAATACCCGATAGGCAATACGGAAATGACGACACGGTGTACGTCACGAAAATGGACACTGATGACGATGTGTGGAGCCACCTTAACAACCTCAGCTTAGGTCCAAATATAGCTGTTATTAATCCTCAGGTCCCTATTACTATACATATAAAATGTGTTTGGAACTATCCTGATGTGTAACAGAGTATAAGGGGTTCAAATCAAACTCGGTAAAATTGACACCCCATTATGATGTAAATAGGCCTACTCTATCAATATATTATACCATTGTTCCAAGTCCGTGATCGAATAAACATGTATGTAGACACTAGCACAGGGGCACGGTTTCGGGATACTTTCGGTTAATAATAAACCTATACAAACCAGTAAATACACATTCTAAAACCTTATAAAAATTGAGGGTACCGAGGTGAAACCGAGTCCATGTGGACACTAGCTATAATAGTAAACTTATTCCCTCCTTTGGTTTGTGTTTGTGCATGGATTGTGTCTTTGTATTGTATCGATCACGGCCTATCGACAATATTTAAATGGAATTCATTCAGCTTTTCATCGATTTTTTTTTTATTGAAGTCGATTCCGCTGTTTTGCAGAGGTTGATTAACAGGCGTGCGGCGG